AAAAAAAATAAAAAGGAAACATCTTCAAATTTAAGAATCATGAATTTATCATGCCTTTTTCTAGAATCATGATCATTTACATCTTCTATTTCAAGAACCATGAATTCAACATGCCTTTCTTTTTTTAAACAAAAACATACCAGTTGTACCAAAAACATAATTAACATGTATCCCACTTCTGAGGCTGAATTATAACTTAATCCCTCTACTTGTTAAGGTTTTAGTCTTAAGCCCCTGAAGTTTATTAGGTATATAAATCTCCAAGGGTGCTCCTTTATTTAAATTTAATAATTTTAATTTAACTTTTTAACTTTTCAAATATAAATTTTATATAAATTTTAATATATCATTTAAATAATAATTAGATTTTTTATCAAATAAAAATACTCAATAAGAACTATACATATATAAAAAAAATTCAATTATTTTTTATATAAATTAAATTTTTATCTAAAATTTATGTTTAAAAACTAAAAAGTCAAATTAGTGCTATTAAAGTTGAATAGAGAAAGTATTTATTAAATCCCTTCTAACGGACGTCATGAGAGCTCATGCAAGGCCCTTGTACTTGAAAAATGGTTAATTGTGCGAATTGTTCCTAATATTTTTGAATTGAAATAAATTAAAATTTTTGAGTTGAAATAAATTAATAATGTTAACGCATTGCCCTTGGAGTTACCAGAAAATTGACTCAACAATTAAATTTCCGCTGATTTTTTTAAAATGAAATGTTATGGTAGTGATTTGTTTCAACTCTTCTCTTAAATATTAATTTCCTTCAACTTAAAAATAGTGAAAGGCAATTTACACTGTTACACCCACCAAAAACTCACTAATTTTAATTGTCCCTAAGCTTATAAAAGTTTAGAAAGAAAGCATATTAGCCCTAAAATTTAAAGGATTTGAACGAGAGAAAGACGAACACTGTCGTCTTCCCAAGCCAAGGGTGGTCCGTTGGGGAAAGTAATGGGTACGAGTATATTTAATACTTAGATGCCTAACTTATTTATGTACTTTACTGGTTAAAAATATTTATCTGTCACATCAGAAAAAAATATCTTAAATAATTATTATTTAAAATAATTTTATTTTTATT